CACCTCGTTTTTATAGTTTTTTTTAAAAAGTATTTCGCACCCCCTATGGGCAGTTATGACTGATCTCAGCTCCACGTGCTATCAGGCAGCTTTAGTTACAGCACGTGGAATTCAAGCAGTTGTGTTGCGTCCTCAATCAAGACTTTTAACTCTAACCACTTAAGTTACGGAAAGTACAACTTGCTAAAGACTTGCACATGTTCATGTCAATGAGCAACTTTCATCGCCAGTCATCACCCTTGTGTGCAATTGTTTTTTCACAGTACGCTACAACTTCAGTCATAAATATCTAACATTGTGTTCACTACCCAAGTTAGAATGTACAACATTGAATGTACAATGCACAAGCTAAGAGGAATGTGCTGTCAAGAATGCTTAAAAAAGGTAGCAAGATAATAAGTGGGATGTGGATCAGCAATAACGAAACACGCAAGAAAGAGATAGTTAGAAATTCCCAGCAAGAGAGTCTATTTGTAAAGGAAAAATACAAAAAAAACATAAAAAATAGATTAGTAGACCAGAGGGAAATAAGTAAGGAACATAAAAGGGACATGGAATAACCAAAATAGAAAACAGTGGTGTCAGATATCAAAAATAACGAAGACAAAATATTTAATAAAATTTAAACTTAAAAGACACCATTAGTTTTCAGAAGTTATATGAAGAGAAAGATAGAAAGCTGTTTAGTATACTGCAAAATCTACATTAATGTGCAGCATTTAAGAACAAGCAGCCATAGCTGGAAGTGCATCCCTCTGCCCGTGAGAACTCTCGTCCAGAAGTAGATTTGGTGAAAGCCTGGAGATCAGTGAGATGTACTTCCTGTACTTCCAAAAGACGCTATTTGAGACTCCAGTGACGTGTTGTCAGCCACTTTGGTCTCCAGAGTACATACAAAGGCTGTACTCATGCTATGATGGAAGTAAGTCCCACTGATTTATTTTTACTCAGTATAAGACAGCTTTGAATTATTTTTATATTCTTCTGTCGCAATGATGACTCAGATCTCGGTCTATTGCAGGAATATAGCAGTGAAAGGCCAGAGTCAAGGTTACGGAGGCAGATCTAATCTCAGTTTAATGCGATTGCTGCCGCACTTTGTTCTTCATAAGAGGTGTTACATTTAAGTTAGGAGGATGGGCTGATTGGGAAAAAAATGAACACTTCTCCAGTGGATCTCTGATAGCATTGATCTGCTCAGTCTTGTACTACTAAATATTCTGTGGATCTCACAGTACCAAAATATACAGTCAATTCACTTCACAGTACATTCTGTGAAGGGCTTTGAGACGTCTCAACTACATGATAAGGCACTATATCAAATACAAGGATTATTATTATTATTATATATTACACTACAGTTATCACAAGCAACATGCTTCACAGTTATCACAATTAGGGTAGGGAACAAAAGCAGGACGCCATTCATCAAATATGATGTTAAAATTGTGTTACAATCCAACGCACAAGGAGTGCTAACACACATGAAGTATTTGCACACACAGAATGTTAACATATGTTGTATTTACACGGAGAATGGACAAGGACGCACAGAATTGCTAACACCCAAGCATTTTAAAACCTGAGGATCAGGGCTAGGATTATGGGCAGCCGATTGTCACAAGTAACTGGAGGATTTTCTCCTACTCCATTTGAAAATATAGTATTTCAGACCCTTTTTAGCAACATAAGTGATCACAAAACTAAGGTGCCTCAGATTTTCCCAATTGCAGTCATCTTCTGGTATGATCTTCTAACTAACACTGTTGGATAAGAGCTGGTTTTATTGTGTTAAAGTGTCCCAAATTAAAAGTGATTTGTTGCACTACCTCCTAATTCTGGAATTCAAAACACGTTATTCTTGTACGGAGTGTAAAGATGTTGAGTACAGTGCAAACACCATGTCTCCAATGTCCTACTTTTCCCTTGCAAGATTATGTTAATCAGCAGTGCACAGCAAATGCTCTGAATTTTTGCTGCCATATCATTTACACACTAGTGCATATTAAATCAGTAGGGAAGAGGCAACCTCTATTATTTCTTGTGCATCGTGGATTTGGAATGTTTCATGCTTTCTGATCCCTGCCAGCTTTGCACAGCAGTGGCTTCTGCAGTGTTGTGTTACCCAGAGCCAATGGTACTGACCGAGCAAATTGTTCTAATCTACATGAAGCTCTGTGGCATGATCAGTGTGGGGAGTTCTGTAGAATTGACAGCAAGGCTGCTGAAAGGATATGAAATAGCACAGAAGTTTTTGCGGACATAGTTCTTTTCAGGGAAATGCAACCTAGGCCCATTATTGGCAGATCCTAGAAACTAGATATTAAGGGCCCAATAAAATAAAATATAAAGTTACCAGCTGATCTGTCAAAAAATGGATAAACTAACCATCAGCTCTTAGCTCTGGAGTGGAGCATTTATATCTCTAGTCCAATAGACAGTCTGACATAAAGCTGGGTTCAGGCAATCCTGGAGCTCAGAAGAGCAATACTTCATATTGCGTCAGTGGTATTAAATATCCTTCTCTTCTCTCTGCCATATTGGGTATTAACCTCTGGAGAAAGGCTTAACTCAGAGCCAAAGTAATAATATAAAAGGAGCGTAAGTCACAAGGTTAGATGAAAAGCAAGTCATGATGTTTCGTCGTTGGTAGCACAGAGGAAAATCAAACAGTCAGCGTTTCTCAAACTACTCAATAATTCATTTATTAAAGAAACAAGTTCAGTAAGGTATGGGTCAGGATCACTGGATTCTCAATAAGATATGGCAGAGGCGAGGATATTTAAAACCACTTGACTTTTGTAAGAGTTATTCTGTAGATACAGCTTTAGAAACAGATGTTGTGTGACGGACCAGATTTGGTTTCCAAATAATGGGGCCCAATTCCAATAATGGGGTAGAGCTCCATGAACTAATAGAAAGACTTCTCCTTGTTACACACATTGGCTATTTTACTGTACTCATACTAGTTGTGCACACTGCAGTCTTGCTGAATTCCAGTTCAGTCTACATGCTAAGCTTACGTTCTGCAGGCATCAGAAAGGCTGCAGTTCCTTCTGATGTAAATTTGCACAGAGATTGTGGCGCTCATTTAATTTCAGCACAAGTGAAGAAAGATTACAACATTGGAATCTTGGGAGGAAACTGTAGTATAACACCAAAAAAAAGGTTTCCAATTATGTACATTTATACAATCTAAATTCCAGTGGTTTCTGCCTCTAATGACCCATTTTTATTTTAATCCCATTATGGACCTTAATCTTGGCCCAATGCTGAACAGAAATTAACCTTTTCACTGCTGTAAAGTTTAGCACTCCCAGTTACTCACTGCCTCATTACTTGTGCTGAGCAGTAATATACATATATAAGTGCATATACAGGAGCTATGGTTCTTGGCAAATGTATTAAAGTGGATCATCTCGATGGCAGAGGGGATCACATAGCTATTCTTTGGCAATGAGATGCAGTTTATTGACTACCTTAATTATGACACTGGGTTCTAGGTTGTGGTGTTTTGCAATGAAGCATCAGAGGGATTCCTGAGTTACAAACGGGGATTCCTCTCAATAATTGGTAGAGCATTAAACCGATTCCACAATCTACTCCTGCTACTACACAGAGCAGAGTTCCTGCAGGTCAGATATGCACCTTCCATTACCAGGAGGGTTATGACAATTGCAGCTTAGAGCACTTACTAATGCACTTTGATAAGAACATAAGAATTTGTAGGCGAAAGAAGACCAAGGTCCATCCAGTTCGCCTTCCACCATCCTAGCAGTCGCTTGCACATGCCATGTCCCAAACTATATACTGTACCTCAAGATATTATTTCCTAACAGAAATCTTTCTAATTTGTTCTTGAAAGAATCAACAATTTCTGCTTCCACCGTGTCTCTAGGGAGCTTTCAGACTTCCGACTTTCATTTGACTTTGGGTCATCTTTCCCCTCCCCGCCCCGCTCGGAACCCACCCCCAGCTTGGGGTTCAAGCCACTGTCGTTCAGTGCCTCGGGCATCCTAACAACATGAAAGGCACTAAATAAATGTAAATTTCCATTGTATTACATTGGATTGATTCATCTGGACAATTGAAACTCCATTGCAACCACTAACATATTACATATATTTTCTAATACTTCAGCATTACCCCCTCTAGTTTGTGCTCCTCACGTTAATGCAAATGTACACTTCACAGTAACACTAACGCTCCGAGTGACTTTAATGCAGAGTGCTGACCAGGGATTCAGAATGTTATAAGCTGCCCTAACCCTCAGCTCAGACTTCTTTAATCTTCCCAGGGATATTGAACAGATGGTGAGGAATGACAAATAGATACAAATTGGATGGAATTTTGGGCAAAGGTACATGCTTTAAAACCACTGGAAAGCATTGCCCACTCTACCAAGGCTGTGACCTCCAATTGAAGTTGAAGCAGGCACGTGCGTGTGAGACAATCTCAGGCACAAATGGTGCAAAACTGCAACCAAACTCATGCCTCAGAGCTTGTGTGAACACGCACACACATCACTTTGCTGCCTCGTGAACTGAAAAGAGATTATATTCACAGTTCACGAAGGAAATTAAGGCAAATCTGTATCCAACATCATGTTTTTGATTAGCTTTCAGAATGACTGTTATCCTTCTACATAATTAAAGCACCTTAACTCCAATAAAATCTGGGGACACTTCAAATCTCAAATCGAAATACGTAAGGAGATATAGCCCTCTCTTTTCCGCATTAAAGCACTGCACCATGTTTGAATAATCGGGACTTTGAACTTTATTTTCTAAAGCAGCTGATCTAAAGAAAAGAATAAAAAGATTGCAGCACTTATTTCGGTATTTACGTGATCGGAGCACGTGGGCTTTCTCTACAGGCAAGTGGTTTATCACAATGGTTTCAGCAGTTTCAGCCACAGGAGAAAGTACGGACGTCAACTTAAGAGCCACTCGTGATACTGTGCACTCAGTCACCGCGTTAAACGGAAAAGCATCACTTACCCAAAATATTAGGTTGAAAAGAAACATCATGTATTTCAAGCAGCAGAGACAGCCTCTTGCCATGTTGCACTTCTTGAATTCTAAAAGGAAAACAAAGGATAGATCCAGGTAAAAGACCACATATTTGCTGCCTTTGGGTGCAGTATATTTATCGTTCTTTACACCGATGCCAGTGTGGCTCTCTGTGCGTGAGCCATTATTGCCGTAGAAGGCTCCAGCTGTAAAGCCTCGACCAAACTGCCTGCCAGAGGTGTCTGCTCTGGCAAAGTCCGAGTCCCTACTCTCCACAGAGGGGCTCCGATGAATTGAGGATTCCTCGCTACTTGACTTCTCCATGTTCTCCTTGTTTTTCACAGTTCTCACATTCAATGTCTAACATGTCTTAGTATTTCGAATAGATTGAAGAATATCAGGCGCTTTGGTCTCTAACCTAACAGAGCAACTAGAGGTCACACAGAACTTTGTGAATAGTACGAGCAGCATTCACAGTATTATTTTCTTCCATTTTCCTTCATCTACAAGCAGCTGTGGGATGGCATTCCATGTGCAGATCGATTCTATCAGCATCCCATGAAACACATTACCAACTAATGCTGTAGGCTCAGTAATTCAGAGCACAGCTTCGTTCACAGAGGTCCTGAAATTCCTGCTTGTCCTCTCTTCTCCGACTGTCCTCTTGACAGTTAAGATCTACAGCTGGTCATATCATCCATACTCCAAAGGCTATGTATAGAAGCACGGCAGCCTTTCCCAGACTCGCTCTCTATCCCTCACATGCTTTTTTTCCCCCCTTTACTGCCTCTTCCTTCAGCAATCAGCTGTTCAATCTCTCTCCTTGCTGCTGCACTGCTGCTGATGTTGAATCATCAGCAGCTGCTATTACAGCAATGGGTATTCCCACAGAAACCACTGACCTAACCATCAAGTACTACAGCCCCTTTTGGAGCCACTCCCACTGCCTGCATCTTCCAATGACAAACAAGTCCTCTTTTAGGGGGATGATAGTCTAATCTTTTTCTCTGTGACTGTATGAGTGCGGTTCTGCTAATGCGGAGCACTATTTAGCTGTCACGAAGAAAAAGGGACAGTGTACACAGTACTAATAATAATCTATCAATTGAAATCAAGGACTACCTTGTGCAAACGAAGAATGTGAATGTCAGCTAAACTGCAGTCGTATTGACTACGCAAGTTCAAAATCAATTCCGTGGTGGCAATGCAGATTGGGAATATCCCCTTTTCATTAAATACAAAATGAACACAATATTAAAATTCTAATCTGAAGAATTCAACGGCACAGGATATGGGAATTACGTGTAAGCAGGAAAATAGCATGCGGTATGTTTTTTTGGTCGAATAGTGAAGCTGCTTAGGTTCCAGTGCTTTTTTTTTAAGTAACTGAATTTAAAGCTGTTCAGGTTATATTGTGAAAAAGCATAAATTCTTGAAATCAAGCACATATAGGTTCATAAGGGTTAGGAGCTCTGTATCGGTAAACTATTTTATAATAATTACACAGTATCGCAATTGTACACTGCGGTTGGATAAGGAATAAGGGTTATCTTATTTTAATAAGTGTTGGAAATAAGCAGAGAAATGGTGCAGTCATTCAGCTGTGAGTGAATAATTTGTTCATTCCTCTGCCTGGAATTTTCAGAGTAGTTTCTTTTTAAATTACTGCATTAAAACAAGTGACTGCTGGTAAAAACAATATCAGATTACAGGAGATTGCATTTGCTGATGAAAATGGTCACTGAAAACAAAATCCCCAAATGCCCATTTAATTTCAGTGAGCATCTCCAGATCACAATGTTGCACTGCAATATGACAGCAAAATGCAACATTTCATCAATGTTGGATGCATCGTGTGGGAATACTGTTTGAAGCCCAGGCACTGACTGCATTTACACAAGCTCAAAACCTAAAATGTTGTAACGTCGAGTATGTAAGGACAAATTTCACATTATACATGTATTCCACTGGCATTTTATAACTGCGTTGGCTCAGCATTGCTTTCATGGAGTCCTGTAGCTCAGTGGTTAGAGCACTCGCCTCGCAAGTGAAAGACCTGGGTTCTATTCCCGGCGGGGCGAAATGTTGGGCAAGTTTCCTTACTCCACACGCCTCTGTTTACCTAGCAGTAAGTAGGAACCCAGTTGTTAGTCGATTGGAGGATTGCTTTTCCGGGAATAATAACCCTTCCAAAAAAAAAATAATATGGTCACTCAATCCGCAAATGTTTGTGGGACTCTGCTGTGCGCAATTGGCTGTCGCATTTTGCCCACAAATATACAGTCGATTCACTTTACAGTATATTCTGTGAAGCACTTTGAGACTCTCGAAGACATGAAAAGCGTTATATCAAATGCAAGATTTATTTATTTTTATGTGCGCATGGAGTCTCGAGTATTAAAAAGCAGAGACGGATGAAAATAGAAACCAGTGTCTGGAACACTTGACAACAGCAAGTTACAGCAAAAATGTGTGAAGGGTATAAGGATATCAAGAAGCCAAATGCAAAGGCTGGAATACCAAGCCTGATAAGGAGAAAAGAAAACAACAACAACTTGCATTTATACAGCACCCCTCATGTAAGGCAGAGTCCTAGAGACTCAATGACAGAGGTCAATTTGCGCCAAAGAATTATTACCAATTTTATCAAATTACGTTAATCTCAGTCGACCACCTATTCTCTCTCTTTTTCCTCTCCCTCTCTCTGCAAAAGGACTAATTTCTTTTTAAATCTGGTTTAATATCCCATCCAAATCACGTCGCCTATAACAATGCAGCACTCTCTCAGCAATGCATTGGAGTGGCAGCCTAGTCTGTGAGTTCAAAGTTACAAAATTTCGCTGACAAGTAGGGTACAGTTTTCCAGTATTTCAAACTTCTATTAATATTTCAGATATCTGGCTCAGTTAGTAACATTCCTGCCTCTGAATCAGGATTCAAGCCCCACGTGAGGAATTTGAACGCACAGCGTTCAAGCCGACACTCCAGTGCAGGGGCTATGCTGCATTGTTGGAGGTGCTGTCCTTCAGATGAGATATTAAACCGAGAGCCCGTCTGCCTTTTCAGGTGGACGTTAAAGATTCCATGGCGCTATTTGAAACAGAAGGGAATTTCTCCCGGTGTCCTGGCCAAATTCCTCCAAATAAGATTGATCAGTCACTTCATGGCTGTTTGTGGGACATTGCTGTGAGCAAATTAGCTGGCATATTTTGCCTACAAAAAAAAATACATAAAGTCACAGCACTTTGCAGTATATCCTGTGAAGCTCTTTGAGATCTCCTCTCAACATTGAAGGCGCTTTTCCAACTATAAGGAATGTTATTATTATTAGGCAACAGCATTGCTGTGTTCAGTTACATTTAACATCTACTTTACACTGTTCTGGAATAGGTGCTAGGATTGAGGACTGCATACTACTTTTAAACTGATGTAATGATCTAATATTTCTGCTGTGTTCAGAGTTGAAACTGGGTGACTGAGCATCAAACATCTCTATATCACCCTTACTATCACCTACACAATATGACCATGAACTCCAACCCTCAAACCCAAAACGGAAATTGAACCCAGAGGAATAAGTATGCTCTGGTGTCACATGGCCAATTTATTGATGGATTTACGCAAACACCAATGCACATTGGTAACACAATAATCATCCTTGCATTTGATATAGCAACTTATCATGTCTTCGAGACATCTCAAAATGCTTCACAGAATATACTGTTAAGTGAATTGACTATATATTTTGTGGGCTGTATATAATAGCAGCACTGGTTGTGCCCATATGATTAACTTCACAGCTGTAATAATAGAAACCTTATGTAGGGAGAAGATTCTTATTTTTAAAAGATTTTGATACACGATGATGCATGCCAGCAATGCCACGAGACAGGTGTGCGAGGTAATGCTGCTGTCTAAAGGAAATGCAGGCCACATTTCCGCTACCTTCATGACAGCTCAATAAAACAGATCATTTTCCTCTCACAGATGAGTCGAATTCACGGGGGTTTGATTCACTTATATCTCTGCCTGACATACGATCAGTGTCAATCAACCTGTCAACTCATCTCAAATCGGGAAGATAACCAGCATCTTACTGAGAGGTACTTTGCCCCTGTTAGTGCCCAGAGTGGAGTCTGCAATCTTTTCCTAATGACGATCCATTGTTTCATCACCATGTTTCCATAACTCAAACAGTGGAATTCATGCCTCTGCCCAAGCTTTAGTTATGTGGGGAAATATCTCAGAATTTAAGCCATTTGCACATCACACTGCAACTGTTGCAGGGAGGTGTGGTCAGAAGCCACAAGAAACAAGCCAAGATTCAGAGTTTGTCACCCAGTGTTCACCAGCTGACAATTACTGGAGTTCACTGGAGGCCTGAGGACAATTGCCAAACCATCCCTCCAGCCACGAAAGGTGGGTTTTGCTGGGTTGCAAAGGATTGAGACAGGGAGGAGGAAAACATAAATGAAAATGACTTTACTTTGGCTCTTAAATTTCATTGGGGACAGGAATTACAATGGTAAATGTGAAGATTCTTAACCTCCACACAGAGAGGACCAGTATACTAAACATGACACTCACTTTCTGCACCACTGAACAGAATTAGCACTAAATAATATTGCCTGCGTTGAACCAGTTATAAAAGTTGCAACCATTGATACTGTATCCAGCCCCCTTCACCTCCACACACACCAAATTTATTTTGACTTTTTGCCCATATTTCTTCATGACAGTGAATAAATAGTTAAAAACACAGGAAACTGATAAATCCTGTAGCTCTTGCAAGCGAGAGACCTGAGTTCAATTCCAGACAGGGCGAAACCTTGGGCAAGTTTCCTTACTCCACACAGAGCCTAATAATAATCCCTCCAAAACCAAAAACAATAATAAATTGGTCATTTTCAATCTACGACTGTTTGTGGGACATTGCTGTGCGCAATTGGCTGCCGCGTTCGCCCACAAATATACAGTCAATTCACTTTACAGTGTGTTCTGTGAAGCGCTTTGGGACGTCCTCCCGACGTGAAAAACGCTATATCAAATGCAAGGATTATTATTATTA